TATATATATATATATATATATATATATATATATATATATATATATATATATATATATATATGTACGTATACATATATATATACATATATATATGTATATATACATATATGTATATATATACATATATACATATATACATATATGTATATATATGTACGTATACATATATATGTATATATATGTATACGTACATATATATATGTATATATATGTATGTATGTATACATATATACATACAAATGTGTATGTATATATACATACACATTTGTTTTATTTTCTGTGTATGTGTGTGCCTGAGTGAATGTCTGTTTACCATGTGTGCAGGAGCCTGAGAAAGTCAGAAGAGATGTCGGGTCCTCTGGAACTGGGGTTAGAGATGCTGGTGAATCACCAAGTGGGTGCTGGGAATTGAACCCATGTCCTCTGGAAAAGCAGCCAGTGCTTTAAACCACTGAGCTCTTTCTCCAGCACCTAGAGGCTGATATTTTAAGATGAAGTTGTCGCTGTCTTGAAGTGGCAGGATTTAATAGTCCCTCCAGCTGGTCCCTGGGTTGGTGAGGTGCTGTCAGCTGTGTTACCAGCTTCTGCCGCTGTCTCTGCAGCCATCCACGTCAAGTTTACGGACTGGAAAAGCTACCTCATGAAGCGGCTGGTGGGCTCCAGGACGCTTCCTGCAGATTTCCACATCAAGGTCTGGCTGGGTTCCCTGCTCATTTTTCTCCTCTCTCCCATCCTTTCTCTCCTCTTTCCCCTTCTTGCCATCCCTCCCTTTTTCTCCTATTTTTCTGCATCCTTCATGTGATTCGTTTCAGGCGTTTTGTTTTGCTTTTGTGGCCCTGGGGGGTAGGACTGAGGGCTTTGCATAGACTAGCACTATGAACCATGCTTCTAGTCCCCCATCGCAGTACTCTCTGGCCTTTTGTTTGTCAGTCTTCAGCCCAGTCCTGCCTTCCTGGGTAGCCACCTGCCTCCCTGCCAAGACCCTCATCCACCGCCTTGATCATGTTGCTTTCTTGATCTTTTGGATTTTAAAATCTGCTAGGTTCTTGCCCTTGCTTTTTCAAGGCATTTTCAAGACTATCTTAGGTTTCTGTCGATGTGATAAGGCCCAGGACCCTGAAGCGGCTCGGTGAGGAAAGGGATGATTTTGCTTCCACCTCCACATCATAGTCCATCATCCTAGGAAGTGAGGGCAGGAACTCAGGGAAGGAACCTAGAGGCAGGAATTGAAGCAGAGGCCATGGAACTACGTACTAGCCTCACTCATGATTTGCTCAGTCTTCTTTCTTTTCTCTTTTTCTTTCTTTCCTTTTTTGGTTTTGTCCAGGCAGGCCTTCTCTTTATAGCCTTGGCTGTCTGGAACTCACTTTGTAGACCAGGCTGGCCTTGCATTCACAGAGATCTGCCTGCTTCCTGAGTGCTGGGATTAAAGTCATGCCACCACAGCATGACTTTAGCTTATTTTCTTATAGAATCCAGAATACCAGCTCAGGGGTGGCACTGCCCACAGTGGCCTGGTCCCTCCCACATCAATCATAAATATTAAAAAAAAAAAAAAAAAAAGCACCATAAGCTTGCCTATCTGGTGGGGCATTTTCCCAGTTGAGTTTCCCTCTTCCTAAATGACTCTGTCTAGCTTGTATTGAGTTGACATAAAACTTTCGAACACAGGGTATTCATGAAAAGAGATGTTACGTGCTGGTAAAAGATAGCAGTACGGATTGGTTGTGGTGTCACATGCCTTTAACCCCAGCACTTGAGAGGCCTTGGCAAGTGGATCTTATATTGACCAAGGCATGTGTACATTCAAAGGGGTTGACCCTGGGCTCCACTGAACACTGTGTCCCACCTTGGTGGGCCTCACCTCCCAGATAAGTGCCGGGGCCACCTTGAGGTATTCAGGGTATCCTTATGAGGGTGGTGGCGGCACACGCCTTTAATCCCAGCACTTGGGAGGCAGAGGCAGGCGGAGCTCTGAGTTTGAGGCCAGCCTGCTCTACAGAGTGAGTCCAGGACAGTCAGGGCTACACAGAGAGACCATGCCTCAAAAATAAAAACAAACAAACAAACAAACAAACAAACAAATAAATAGATAAATAAATGAGGTTGGGGTGGGTTTCCTGGTAGGATGCAGGGAGTGTGGGCACTTGCTGCCAGGAGACATTCTCAGGGGAGCAGGTATCAAACAGGCTTCTCAGAGACAAGGGCTTTTGGATTGTAGCTGCATGGGTGGGCCTTGGAGGTATAGATGCCAACTTTGAAACATAAAGATGGAGTGGAAATCAGGCCATCACAGGCAAGGCACTGGGTGCGGATAGAAAGCTGTGCCTGGCAGGTCTCCTGGAGAACTGGCCTCTTGGTTCAGTGCACCTCTTTTAAGCATTTTTTCTTTTTCACAGTAGAGGTTATTTTTCCTTTTAACTCACTGGTTCCTTGATGTTTGCCTCCTCTGTGAGCGTCTCCTAATACTCCATAGTCAGCAAAGCTCAGCTTTGTGTCTTGTCGGCAGATTTAGTTATGGGGACAGTTGCCAACTTGCTCAGGCAGTGGTGTGTGGCCCACCAGGGGCAGCAAAGAGGCCTCCCTTTCCTCACACACGGACAGCTCTGCAAGCCTGTGCTCCCTGCCCCATCCTGCTTTGCACTTGGGTGGGGACAACAGGTAGAACAAGGCTACTAGCCCCTGGTTGGAGCACGATGACTAGAGAGAATGAGATTTGGGGAGACAGTAGAGGGCTCTAGACAGGCTCGCTGGGAAGCCTTGGGAGGTCACTGCCTCAGAGAAACCTTGAAGCGTCGTCTGACGGTGACCGCTGGAGTTAAGAAGGTTGTGAGCTGCTGTATTGGCGCTGGGAACAAAATCTGGGTCCTCAGAAGAGCCGGTGTTGAGTGGTTTGCCTTTTTTTTTTTTTTTTCCAGTTTCTCTGTGTAGCCCTGGCTATCCTGGACTCACTTTGTAGACCAGGTTGGCCTCGAACTCAGAGCTCCTCCTGCCTCTGCCTCCTGAGTGCTGGGATTAAAGGTGTGCACCCCCCTGGGCGATTGCTGAGGCAAGAATGTGAGGGCTGAGTAACTGAATCGAATCGCCTCCTCACGTCCCCGCAGATGGTGGAGAGCATGAAGTACCCCTTTCGGCAGGGCATGCGCCTGGAGGTCGTGGATAAGACCCAGGTGTCTCGGACCCGCATGGCCGTGGTGGACACGGTGATTGGGGGTCGCCTCCGGCTCCTCTATGAGGATGGTGACAACGATGACGACTTCTGGTGCCACATGTGGAGTCCCCTGATCCACCCTGTGGGTTGGTCACGGCGGGTCGGCCATGGCATCAAGATGTCAGGTTAGTAGGGCCCCTGGCTGGTGGGACGCCAGGTCCAGCCCCCTAAAAATCAGTAGGACCGTGGCTGTGCTTCACAGTAGTGCAGTGAGGTGGACCGGCATTGCTGCCCTGCAATGACAGCACTGAGGGTCAGCAAGGCCAGTGACTCGGGTCACTCAGCTCAGGCTGTGAACAAAATCCAAAATGGAGCTCCGCTGCTACTGGCGCAGTGCCAGCATGAAGGAGCCCCGCACCTGTGTGTTGGGTAGTCCACATGACCGTTCCAGGGGGCTTCTGTTTGCCATCTGGAAAACAGCTGGGGCACAGCTGAGAACCAGGTGTCCTGCCCAGCCCCATACTTCTGGGGGAAGCATGTGATAACAGTGGCTGCCTTCAGCTCCCGTTTCTTCTTCTCTTCTCTGTCATCTCCCCAAGAGAGACGATGTGACATGTCCAATCACCCGACCTTCCGGAAGATCTACTGTGATGCTGTTCCTTACCTCTTCAAGAAGGTGAGGTGCAGCCTGCGGGCACTTTAACTTTTGCCAGAATCCTCCGTTGGCTTCTCTCTGGGCCTGTACCTCACTCTTCTGTAACAGATTGTTCCGCAGTCCTTAACATACTTGAGAACCTTTTTAGGGGAGTAGATTGAGGCAGGGTCTCACTGTAGCCCAGGTTGGCTTGTCACAGCCCCCTAAGTTCTGGGATATAGATGGGCGCTGCCACACCCATAGGGCTGTCCCCTGCCCTGTGTCCATCTCAGGCCCGAAGTGTCCGAAGGAGTCCTCTACCTTCCCCTGACTCCCCAATTGCCTCCTTCCTTAAGGTCCGAGCTGTCTACACGGAAGGTGGCTGGTTTGAGGAAGGAATGAAACTAGAGGCCATTGACCCTCTGAATCTTGGCAATATCTGTGTAGCAACCATCTGCAAGGTAAGCCTAGGCCACTCTTCCTACCTCCAGCAACGCTGTCTTGAGGGTCAGCTGGCAGGAGCTTTGCTTCCACTGCCAGGCTCTTGGGACTTTGACACTGGCTGCTTGTTTTGTACTTGTTTGTGGTAGACAGAGACCATCGCTGCTTTTTACCCAGAACCTACCTTCATGTTAGGACTTGTAACTAAATATCTAAGACTCGTCCTGTGTCAGGTGCAGGCTCCATACTGCCCCTTTGTGTAGGCCTTCCTGCCACTCGCATCTCTTTTGCATGCCCGAAGCTTCAGCCCAGCTCCTTACGCCTAATGGCCGTCATTGCTGCAGCCTGAGGACACTGCCCATGTAGCCTGTTCTCTGCCCAGCCACATGCTTCCTATTTACCGAGAGCCCGGAGGCAGCAAGGCAGATGCAGTCCTGGCTCACATAGGTTGGAGAGGGTACATTATCCCTCAGGTGCACACTCCTGAGAACTGGGTATTCTGCCAGACATCTTGGGCTGCTTTGGTGGAAGGCAGAATTCAACCCTGCCTCACGTCCGGTTGGATCCACCTGCCTCACGTCCGGTCATAAGGTCATAACCGCCGTACTCGGGAGAGTCTCCACTTAATGATGCAATGCTGTGTATTTCTCTCTACCCTCCCCTAGGGCTGTTTTGTTTTTAATTACATTCATTTATGTGCATGGAAGTCAGAGGACCATTTGTGGTCGTTGGTCTGTCCTTCCACTGTGTAGGTTCTAGGGATCAAACATAGGTCATGCCAGACAGCAGTGTTTTTACCCTCTCAGCCATTGTGCCGGCCCTTCCTGTAGGTTCTCTTGGATGGCTACCTGATGATCTGTGTGGATGGGGGCCCCTCCACAGACGGCTCAGATTGGTTCTGCTACCACGCCTCCTCCCATGCCATCTTCCCAGCCACCTTCTGCCAAAAGAATGACATTGAGCTCACACCCCCAAAAGGTAAGGCCACAGCCTAGATCCCTGTGGCGCCTTAGCATGAGAGAGAGGATGGGCATCGATAGCCACCACTGCCCTTGCACTGCCTGGGCTGTGTACAGAACTCCTGTGTCTGAGGGCAGCACATGACCTGAGCGACAGGACTGACCTGGAGCAGGTGTCATTCTGGGGAGAAGGGCAGCTACAGACTGGGCTGGTCTCAGCCAGCCTTGGTGGCTCCAGCAGCTCTGCCCTTGACCACTTACTACTGCTTCTCCCTTCTTCTCTCCATCTCAATGTCCTGCCCCCCCAGGGTATGAGACACAGCCTTTCGACTGGGAGACCTACTTGGAGAGAACCAAGTCGAAAGCAGCTCCAGCAAGACTCTTCAACATGGTGAGGGGACTCCAGCATTGGAGTCAGGTGGTCGGGGGCAGCCAGGGGCTCGCTCTGCCCACTGACAGCAGTGGTGGCAATTTCAATCCCTTCTTCAAGTCTTTACTGCTGGGGTCAGTGGCTTCTGGAACACTCTGCGGCATGGCTACGCACTGGGCCACAGCGTGGACTAGTCCCTTCTCCATAGAGGGGTTGGCACCTGAGAGCAATGGGGTCGCCCCTCTCTGTACCCCCAGTTCTGCCAGCAGCTCCTTGCCTACCTGGGCAAGCTGCTACAGCCTAGCATTGGCCGGTGGGGCAACTACCTTCTTCCCCCAACCAGGACTGCCCCAACCATGGCTTCAAGGTGGGCATGAAGCTGGAGGCTGTGGACCTGATGGAGCCCCGGCTCATCTGTGTGGCCACCGTGAAGCGAGTGGTGCATCGGCTCCTTAGCATCCACTTCGATGGCTGGGACAGCGAGTATGACCAGTGGGTGGACTGCGAATCCCCGGACATCTACCCCGTCGGCTGGTGCGAACTCACCGGCTACCAGCTCCAGCCGCCTGTGTCCACAGGTCAGGCGTTGGGGAGTGAAGACGGGAGAGAGAGCTCTTGAATGTTCTTCACCTGCCTTTTTCCTTCTTGCCAAATGCTCCTCCCGTGCCCAGCATAGTCCTCTGGTGTGAGGCCAAGGAGTCTCCAGGTTGCCCTAAGCAGATTGTGCTGAGCCTCGCTCTGCTCCTCACCTCTTTGTCTCCCTCTCCCCATGCCCTGTGGAGCACGCTCTTCATCTTGCCCACTCCTATGCCTGGGCCCTTGCACACCCAGAACCCCCAAGTAGGCCTGGTGACCCGGTGGATGGGAAAGCTGTTTCCAGCCCTCTCCCATCCTGATTTCAGTGTCCCGTCCAACTCTGGCTTTTCTCCTTGGAGTACTCCATATACGAGGGCAAAGGGTCTTTTAGGAAGTGCCCTATGCCCGTCCAGAACTCTCTTCTCATCTCTTGTTCTTTCAAACACTAGAACCAAACACACCTCAGAAGGGCAAAGAGTCTTCAAAGAAGAAAAAGAAACAGTTTGGGAAGAAAAGTAAGTGAAGCCCCAAAACACCAAGCATTGGCTTCTGGGGGGCCATTCATACATAGGTCTCTGAGGTCCCTCTTCCTGGAACTTGCCCCTGGGGTCCCTGTGCTTTGGGGAATCCATAACACAAATAGGAATGTAGTATGCACTGAGGAAATAGGCTGACATTTGAGAGAGAGAAAGAGAGAGAGAAAGAAAGGGGGTCAGGTCCCATCCTGCTCCTGCTTGCCCAAAGCAACCTATAGCTGCTGGGTTCTAAGGAAAAGGCAGACACAGGAACCCTGGTTCCCAAGGCTGCTCCTCCCTCAAGCCCTTCTGGAACTTCTGCTCACGGGGCTGCAAGAGGCAGGCCTGGAAGGGCAGGTGACAAAGCCATTCTCGAGTGTGTGGCGTAAAAGGCAGTTCCACGGCACGGTTCCCAGGGGAAGAAGTGGATGTGTGGGTTTTGTTTTTTTGTTTTGCAGTGAGAGAAAACTACAGCAGGAGCTAGTGCTCTGGGTAGGAGTGACATTTGTGTTGAGACTGTGTTGCTCAAAGTGGGGCCTGACTGGGCCATGTGACAATTAAAAATGTAATCCCAGCACTCAGGAGGCAAAGGCAGGCAGATCTCTGAGTGCGAGGCCAAGCTGGTCTACAGAGTGAGCTCCAGGACAGCCAGGGCTACACAGGGAAACCTTGGCTGGAAATGAAAGAAAGAAAAGTAGCAGCTATAATTGCTTTGACCTCAGGCAGCTGGCCAATAAGGAGTATTGAGACCTGGAGTCCAGGGCCACTGTACCCGGTGCCACACTGCGTGCTAGCACTAACAGTAGCTTTGTTTTGTTTTTATTCATAGGGAAAAGGATCCCATCAGCCAAGGCTCGGCCCCTCAGACAGGGCTCCAAGAAACCCTTTCTGGAGGAGAACCTGCAGGCCCTGGGGGTCTCAGAGCCGGTTCCTGATGACAGTAAGACTGGGTTGTCAGGGCCAGGCTGCTCCATTCTCAGAGGTGGACTCTTTGCTCCTCCACCTGGACACAAAAGAATAGAGTCACGTTTGAAGGGGATTTTCCAGGCACCAAACAGTTTTGAACAATTAGACTGGAAAGCCTCCTTTATACCCCACCCACTCTGAACTAAGCAGTCTCTCCAGCCAGGCGTCCTGGCTTCCTCCTCCTCTCATGCCTCCAACCCATGCTCTAAGGTGGATGCAGGTTGGCAGGTGCCAGGTTTCTGGCGTAGTCTTCCAAGCTAGGATATTCCTCGGGGTGGAGTGGGTGGGGTGGGGTGCCATAGCACACATGGAACCATCAGAGGACAAGCGGCAGGAGTTGGTTCTCTCCCACTGTAGGGTCCCAGAGATGAACCTCAGTTGTTGCCTTGGCTGCAAGCGCTGTTCTCTGTTGAGCCATCGCACTGGCTATGCCTGCAGTCTTGGGCCTTGGATGAAGCTGGCCATGTAGGCTCCGCACTATGCCCAAAGGCCCTCTCTGAAGGAACCCAACTTCCTTATGAACCTCTCATCCCACCCCCAGGCAGCCACACTGTCTCACACTCCCTCCTTCTCCCCAGTTATTGCTGTGTGTGTGAAGGAGGAGCACCAGGACATCCCATCGCCCAGCAGGTCACCCAGCCCACAGCTGTCCTTCCCTATTGAGAGCATCAAGAAGGAGAAGGACAGCTGAGACTTCCCTGGCATCAGCCTGGACCCTAGCTGAAGCTAAGCCTTGTCATGGAGCAGAGAGGAGGCCCGGCTTTACTGCTGTGCAGCGAATGGACAGCCTGGTCTTCCAGGCCCACTTCTGCCCTCTGGCCAGGCCTACTGGCTGCTCGGCTTGAGTTCTAGGCTGACATACTCATTGCACCCTCAGTACACTGGAAAACTAGACTGATCCGCATGTGTCTACCCAGACAAGTGATGGAAGTAAAGTTACAGAGCAGCTGTGAGTGGACAGCCTGACGTTCTGGTGAACAGAGCCACCTCTGCCTAAGCCAAATTAAGGGCCTCCGGTCTCCTGGGGGCGCCTTGTCCTACCTAGTGCCCTAGGGTCCCACTGTGGCAGGTGACTGTGAAGTGACCAGGGTGTCTTGTGAGTGGCCTTGACCTCATGGTTGGCAGGAACACCGACTTCCTTTCCTAAAACAAACAGTTGGGAAGACATTTGGGCCAGGCTACCTGCTGCTGGGCACAGGATCGGACAATAGTTTGGCTCATGCATTCTGGGTTCCTGTCTGAACCCATCCTTCTCTGAAGCCTTGCTTGGGGTGGACCTAACACTTCCATCCCCCTGCCTGGGTCATGGAACTGCTCAGCTTACATCTTTATGTCAAGTTTGAGCTTTTGTATTTCCCACTTAAGACTTTTTTTTTTTTTTTTTTGAGACAGTCTATTGTCGTCCTAACTGTTCTAGGCTTGAGCCTCGGACTCAGAGATCCACCTGCCTCTTTCTGTAGTGCTGGGTTTCCAGGTGTGCCCCTGACCCCAGTTAGATGCTTTTGAAACTGGTCATCCAGCCCTCCAGGAACATCCTGGACACCAGTGGGGTTCCTGCACATGGCTGTTGTTTCGCTGGTGTGGACAGCAGCAGGGAGGCCAGTGGCTCCTGTCATGCAGTGGCTGCAGCTATCCTGCATAGCGCTGCCCCCTTCTGGGCTTGCCCTGGCAGCCTGCTCCATCATCCAAAAATACGCTCAAGTGTTTTGCTCTGGACCAGGCTGGGTCATCCCTGAGGAGAAGTCTGAGTGGACCATTCACCACAGACTGGGCAGGTTCAGAGAGAATTTGGTCATGACTCATCTGTTAGACAGCCCACCCTGTGCAGAACCTAGGCCCTGAAAGATGACCATGTTGGCCTCATTTCCTCAGGGTAAATAGCTTTGGGAATAGATGGAAGACCACAGCAAAAGGCAGTTTCAATTCCTGGCACCCACTCATGGCCACCTGTAACTTGAGTCCTAGAGGGAGCCTGTGCCTGTTCTGTGGGTACAAGTGTATACATCCTCAACATGTAATTAAAAATAAAATCTATCAAGGAAAAAAAAAAAGATGAGGTATCAGTGAGTGGGCCTCAGGCCCCAGGAGTGGGTGTTGGGAGGATGATGGCCCAAGTGTTCCTATAGGTGTCTTGAACATGAGGTCCCGTGACAAAAGAGCTGGATAGTTGGCTTCATTCCAGCCCTGGCCTGGCCTCCCAGGACACCCTGTCTGTTTCACAGATGAGCAAGGGGAGGCTATGGGGCGCATTTGGTAAAACTTCAGAGCCTAGACTGACTAGAGCTTAGGCAGATTCTTGTCCTAGTAAAACAACTAAAAGGGTCTCATACGGCCTAGGCTGACTTCAGCTTGTGATCTCGCCTCTCCCAAGTGCTGGGTTACAGACGTGGGTCACCTCATCTGTATGTATGTCCCGGGTTACAGACGTGTGCTACCACACCTGTGTGGAGACAAGTCCCTTGCCGAAGTCAAACTTTCAGAGTATATTCTGACATACCAGTTCAGCATTAAGTGTGAAGACTGTTGGAGGCTGTCCTGACCCTTAAGATCTGGTCACACCTATCTTTTGTAAACCTGCCGAAGACATACTTAGGTTGAACAACCTATACCTGGACAGGGCAGAGTGGGGTAGGTGTGGCTAAGGTGCCCAGGCTTTAGAGGACAGAGAGGGTCACAGGAAACCCAGGGACAGGAAGAAGGGAGACGCCAGGATGGATTAGCCAGGAGGGGCGGGGGCTGGGGAGATGGCTCAGAGGTTAAGAGCACTGGCTGCTTCCAGAGGTCCTGAGTTCAATTCCCAGCAACCACATGGAGGCTCACAACCATCTATAGTGAGATCAGGTGCTCTCTTCTGGCCTGCAGGGATACATGCAGAAAGAACATTGTATATATAATAAATAAATCTTGAAAAGAAAATAAACCACGTGGCCTGGGAGGAAGGACTCCAAAGATCTCAGATGAAGAATATAAGCAAGTACCATGGGATTATGCATGAAAGATAGACCAGTTGAGGGGATTACGGTGGATGGCATTGGAAGGGGGCTGGGAGATGGGTGGTGAGGTTATTGAGACAGTGTGAGTGAAATATCTGCCTGGCCCAAGGTAAATAAGGCAATTGCAAATCTAACAGGTGTCTTATTTGTGAGAGCAGGTTAGATAATACTGCCATGATAATAATAGGGCTAATAATAAATACTCTGATTTTTTTATTTCCTACAAGAGTTACCACAAAAAGTGAAAAGCAGAAAAGACTGCTCTGGCTCCATAACAACCACAGCTATATTATCATTGGTGTTTTTTGGAGCTCGCCTATCCCTAGTTCCGACCTGGTACAAAGCTGGATCATTACTGCTAGTGAAATGAAGAAAGGCACCCGACCTGCAGTGTTGTCGCTAACGGGTCAGATCTGTGGTCTCACGCCGTCTCTCAGGCTGGCCTTGAACTCAACTGTGCCTCAGTTCCCAGAGTTGTGGGACAAGGTCTCATGATAAGAGTTCTCTGGGTTCTAAGAACCAAACCTGTACCCTCTAGAAGTCAGTGCTCCTAACTGCTGAGCTGCCACGTTGGGCCCTGTTAGAATGTGGACTTTTGCCTCGGCGTGCCCGTGGGTGGGGACCAAAGGTCTTGCGTTCTTAGCAGTTGAGTTGCTGGCTAGCATCATCCTAAAGTACCTTCTACACACTCCCTGTCCTTCACTGGAGGCTTTGCAGTGACCGTCTGACCAGATCCCAACACTTCAGGAGGCCACCCTCTGCTTCTTAACCTTTCTGGGGCGGGGGGGCCTGCTCTGCTAGGCGCCAGCTTACACATTAGGGCAGCTCATTCATTTCTGTGGGTGCCCTTGTGAGGTGTATCTTGGCGTCATGGGGAAAAGGCAGGCCCGTGATATAAACTGGTCCCTTAAATATACAGGATAAGTGACAGCATTGGGAGTGAGCCTGAGGTAGTCCACAAAGATATCACTGTCACTGGGACATTCCCTAATGTGCTTTTCACGTGCCACACGCCAAGCTTGATGGGTTCATGCAGAGTACGAGAGCACAGCAATCGTGCCAGCCTTCTTCCCGGCACTGGCACTGGCAAGCATCCCCGGGACACCATCCTTTTCCACCACCACCCCAGGGAGGGTGTGGACAGTTCGTGCGAGCTCTCAAGAGTCCACCTCCAGCTAGCATGCCCTTGGAAGGGGTGTGGTATGGGCTGCAGGACCGTTTAGCCGACAAAGACACTTGCCACAAAGCTGAGGACCCGAGGTTGATCCCTGGGACCCACAAAGTAGGTGCAGAAAATGACTTCCTTGGGTTCAGACCTCATGCATACCGTGACACACGTGCCCGCACAGGCAAAAATATGTGTAAAAACTGTCAATAAGAAGGGTATGGTGGCTTCAAGAGGACTGTGGGCGCCTCTTAGGCCGTTTGATCCGTTTTAGTTTTATGGAGATAATCTCACGCAGCCCAGGCTGACCTTGGATTTGTGCTCCTGGAAGGTACTAGGATTACTATCGCTTGTCACCCTCTCCCTCCCTTTCATTTATTCCTAGTGCTGCCACCTGGTTTCTGGCTACTCTGGTGTGACCTGACTAGCACAAGCCTGGAGGACGCCAAGCAGCGTCAACTGTGTAACTTTGCTGCTGTCCCTAGGGTTAGCTCCAAGTCTGGCTTTGAAGGAGGATCTGTATCCTGAAGCTCGAGATCTTGCCTTTGTGCGCGCACATGCTCGCATCCATGTGTGTGAACATTCAGGTGTGGGAATCAGAGAACAGCCTCAGGTGCCATGTCTGCCTCTCACACACACCCCCCACACACCTCTTGTGTGAATGCTGATGGAAGCCCCCCTGGTTAGGCCCCCCTGGAGCTCAGGTTACAAGCATTTTCAAACCACCTTCGATGGGTAATGGGACTCAGACTCAGGTTCTCGGCAGCCAGCCATCCCACCCCGCCATCTCTGTCGTTTGCTGTTCCCTGTGAGCCCAGGCTGGCAGGCCCATGAACTGCCAGGACTTTACTGTCTTCCTGTAGGAATGCTGGGATTGTAGATGTTTCGTGCTGTGTGCCTGGCTTTTATGGGGTCTCTGGGAATTGAAGCTCAGGCCTTCGTGCTTGTGTGGTAAGTGCTTTACCCCCTGAGCTAGATGGGAGCTCCAAGCCCATCACCAGGTGTTCCTTCCTCAAGGGAAACCTGCCTCCACAGGGACTGCTCCTCCACAAGGGACAGTTTGTGGTTTCAATTGTGTTTCCCTAGAAGATAACTGAACTCCAATAACTCAGAATGTGACCTCTTGGAATTAGGATCTTCAGAGAGGTAATAAATTTAAAGGTCACTGGATGTGGAGCTGCTATCTTTACAAAACGGGAGGTGTGTGAAAACCGAGGGAAGGTATGAAGAGATGGAGAGTAGCACATTGAAAGGCATCCTGGGACTGGGAAATGTCACAGGCCACTGCTGGCCAAAGCAGCAAGGTAGGATCCATCTACTCCCAGGCTCCAGTTGGAAATCAAAGTCCAGCCTCAAAACTCCAAAAGTCAGGCACATTCCTATTGTTTCTCTTTTTGTGGTCCAATCTCATGGCAACCACCGGAGCTAATAGAAACACCGTTTGATTGCCTCATGCCTTCAAACCCAGAGATGGGCCGGGCACAGCCTTCTCCCCACCTTCCCAGCTTTCTCTATGCTCGCTTCCCCCTCTGACAGTCTCCTCCCTGTGGATTCCACACTTGGCCTTGCCCTCATCAGGGCCTCATGAAGGGGCTCACCCTGTAGCAGCAACCTGCAGCTCAGCTTGATACATCAGAACTCTTTGCCACAACTGAGATTTCAAGCTGGGTCAGGACCTGAATATCACATCAAGTAAGCAAGAGTGAGGTTAAGATGCATCCAAACCCCAAAAATTCTCCTCCTGAGACCAGCAGGAGTAGGGACTGCTTCCTCCATGCTCTGGGCCTGCCCCACCCAGGGCACATATCCTTTCGACCCCCACCTCTGCCATCCTTGAGTTAGTCACATAGCCTGGTGGCCTGGTTTTAGGTTAAACTTCCTCTCCTTACAAGGATGTGTCCAGCACCTGGAATTCCTCTTCATGCACACGAATGGCAACCTCCGGAGCTAGCAGAAACGTTTGATCGCCTCAAGTCTTCAAACTCCTTGTAAGGACGGGTCCAGCACCTGGAATTCCTCTTCACGCACACGAATTATCCCTAGCACCTCGGCCCCAGACGATGATGTACAGTCACACCAAAAATCCCTACCCACTCGGTTTTTCGAGACAGCGTTTCTGGGTTCTCTGTGCAGCCTTGGCCGTCCTAGACACGATTTGTAGGCGTCAGGGCTGGCCTCAGTCACAGAGGTCCGCCTGCCTCTGGCCCCCGAGTGCTGGGATTCCAGGCGATGCCACCGTGCCTGTCTCCCCAAGGTTTATATAGTGCTTATTCACCTCTAATAAAGAGACCTGTTTCAGTGAAAACCCCCTTGGAGAAGGCTGTTTCTCCTGCACAGCCCACCTGCCTGAGCTAAACTTTATCCCCCTACAGCCCAGGCTGGTGCACGACGGCACCTTGGTACCCTAAGGAGAAAGGCAGAACTGGGGTGGCGACAACCTGTGAAGGGGAGATGGTGGACAGCAGAGCCAATGTACCTCAACTTCCATTCTGCTCCCCTAGAAGAGCTAGGCCTACAAGGTCAGGATGGCAGAGGGTGGGGTCAACAAAGACACAGAAAAAACAGGAGTGGGATAAATAAGTTGTGGCGTCCAGGAAAGTATGAAGTCACTTTCTTAAGACATGAGGAGAGGGGACATTACTACATCATGCAACAAGATCATGGGTCATTGTCCAGCTCAGGGGTCACAGGTCAGGACCAAGAAGAGTCAGGGCACGGTGGTGCACGTCTGTAATCCCAGCACTCAGGAAGCAGAGGCAGTCAGCTCTCCATGAGTTCAAGGCCAGCCTGGTCTGCAAAGGGCGTCCAGGACAGCCAAGGCTACACAGAGAAACCCTGTCTCAATAAAAATTAAAATAAAGAAGGAAAAGTCAGGGCTTGGCTTCCCAGCAGCTTTGCATCCCAAACCTCCAGCCTAAGGGCCAACCTTGTCTGCTCCTCGAGGTCTTCTGTGGATGGGGGTTCTTCTGGCACTGACTCTGGAGGTTTTCTTGGCCTTCCTGGCGGTCCAGCCTGGGCAGGCTTCAAAGACAGTAGCTGCAGCCTTCACCTTCTGGCCACGTACACTGGGAGGGGTGGCACAGGTGGCCCCCACCCGCAGGTTCAGCCCAGTGAGCCACCTGAAGAGGAAAGGGAGATATGGAGCGGGCTACGGGCAAACATGGATGAGGGATTTCCTGAGGAGCGTGAGGAGCGGTCAGGAACTTGGAGGCAGAATAGGAAGGAGGAACAGCCTACGGAGTTCTGGCCAGGTGGCTCACCTCTGAGTCACTTTAAATCTCTGATCCCTTCTGCATAAAGGGGGGATAAAAATGGCGACAGTGCTGACCATGTACCAGACCCCACCGTCGTTATATCTGCTAAGTCCACTCAATTCTCCAGCAGCCATGATGATGTGGATTGGATTGCTCTCAGCCCTTTCACAGATGAGCAAAGGAAGGCTACGGGGCTCATGGGATAAAACTCCAGAGCCTACATTGACTAGACCTTAGGCTTGTTTGACTCCAGGGTTTCTCTGTGTAGCCTTGGCTGTCCTGGACTCAGTTTGTAGACCAGGCTGGCCTTGAACTCACAGAGGTCCTCCTGCTTTGGTCTCCCTGAGTGCTGGGTTATGGACGTGTGCCATCACACCTGTACGTATGTCCCAGGTGCTGGGTTCCACCTCACCTGGTAGTTTGAAGCCCTGGAAACGGAACCTGGGGCTTCACTCGTAGTAGACAAGCCTCTACCGACTGAGCTACCTCTCCAGCCTTTGTCTGGTTGTTTTGGTTTTTTGAGGCTCAAACTGAGCTCAAACTCCTGAGTCCTGCCTCCACTTCCCAAGTGCTGGGATGACAGGCATGGTCACCCCACCCAGCTTCTTGTCCGTGCATGGTGCCTTTCTTAGGTCCCAGCGCACTCAGCAAGGGAAACAACATCCCGACCTCATGAAAGAATCAAGGCTTAGTCCACCTGTGCCACTTGGTTTTCGTCAGCTTGACTCAAACTGGGTTCATGTGGGAAGAAGGAACCTCTATTGGGAACTGCCTCCACCAGTCTGGCCTGCAGGGCATTCTCTTGATTCATGATGGATGTGGGAGGGTCCAGCTCACTGTAGGCCGTGCCAGCCCAAGTAGGTGGTCCTGGGTTGTATAGGAAAGCAAGCCAAGCAGCAAGCCAATAAGCAGCATTTGCTCCTCCCTCATCTGCCTCAGTGCAGTCCCCGCCTTGAGCTCCTGCCCGGGGTTTTCTTGAACTATATAACCTATAAGCTAAACACCACCCCAAGCTGTTTGTTTGTGTGTGTTTTGGGATAGGGTTTCACTACGATGTTAGCCGTGGCTGGCCTGGCCTACATAAACCAGGCTGGTGTCCATCTCACAGAGGTCTGCGCGATCCTGCTTCTCAAGGGCTGGGATCAAGGCTCGCGATGCTTTTTGGTTATCGTGTTTATCACGGCAACAGAGACGCCACCAGACACCATCCACCATTCAGGTGGCAATGAGCTGGCAAGTGTGCGTTCGTTCTTGTCTGCAGATCCTCACAGCCACCCTAAGCTGCCTAGTGGGGCACGCCGCCATGGTCCCTCTAGGGAGACGGTGGGCTTGGCAGCAGCTGGTACGCCTCTGGCAGGGGTCCTGGGGGTGTGACTACCTGTGCAGCGGGAGCAGCTGGCAGTCGCAGTGGAAGGGATTGCCGCTGAGGTCAATGAGCTCCAGCCCGTTGAGCCCCAGAGGTGCCGGCAGGGACTGCAGCTGGTTATTCTGCAGGTACAGGTTCCGGAGCCCTGTTCCCAGGCCTGAGAAGGCCCTGGGAGAAATCTGCAAGGAAGTGTCAAGCCCTTTTGTGAGCCCCTACCCGGTGGGCTGCCCCGGGTCTATCCTCCCTCCATCAGAGAGATGGAAGGCCCAAGGTGGTCCACGTTGGAGGATAATGGCCAAGCCTCTTGGGGACTCTCAGCAGCTCAGACTCAAATTTTTCCATGCCCTTGATAGGCCTCTAGCTGCGCCTGAACTCCCTAAGGGATAAGGGGAAGGTTTGGTTTATCTTGGTGTCTCATGCCCTGCCTCAAATGCTTGCCGAAGGAATGCACTCCCATGGACTTGGGCTTCCCGCCTGCGCCTCCCCCAGCGCCCACCTGCTCCAGGCCGCTGCTGTTCAGGAAGAGGTGCTGCAGCGACCGCCCCACAGGCTGAAAGGCTCCATCTTGCAGAGCCCTGAACGGGTTGCCCGAGAGCTGCAGCTCCTTGAGCGCAGGCAGCCCCTCCAAAGCACCGGTGGGCACCTCCCGCAGCTGGTTCCTGTCAAGGTGCAGCTTCTCCAGCTCCCGAGCCGCACCCAGCGCCCCAGGTGAAACCTGGGCGATGTGATTGCCGCTCAGATAAAGGCCGCGCAAAGCCCGCGCTCCCGTCAGATCCCCGGCCGCCAGGCGCTCCACCGCGTTGTCCTGGAGGTGGAGAGAGAAGAGGCTGGGTAGGGCACGCAGAGCGGCCCCCGGGACCCTCAGGAAGCGGTTGTGCTCCAGGTAGAGATAGCTGAGGCGGGGGGCCCCTTCGAGGGCCGCGGCGCTCAGGCCCGACAGCTGGTTGTCGGAGAGGTACAGGTAGACCAGTTGGTCCAGGCCCGCCAAGGCGCCGGGCTCCAGCTCGGCGACGCCGCAGTGCTGCAGGTGCAGCGACAGCAGCCGGCGCAGGCCCGGGAAGGCCGCGCGGGGCACGGAGGGGAAGTGGTTGCGCCTCAGGTCCAGGAGCTGCGTGTCGTTGGGGAAGGCCCGGGGCACGGCCTGCAGGCCGCGGCCGTCGCAGGCGCTGTGGCGCGTCTCGGCGACGCACAGGCAGGCGGGAGGGCAGGGCGCGGCCCCCGGGGCCTCTCCGCCCGGGGGCCGGGGCGGGGCGCGGGGGGCGGCCGGCCGCTCCTCCTCGTCCTCCTCGTCCGCCCCCGCCGCGGCCCCCGGGCAGCGCAGGTCCGAAGGCCGCAGCGCGTCCAGGGCCTCGCCCCGCAGCCGCCGCGGGCCCCGGCACGCGCCGTCCGAGCGCACCCGAGCGCGCGCCAGCCACTCGAGCAGGGGCCGCGCGCGGCAGGCGCACCACAGCGGGTTGCCGTGCAGCCGCAGCCGGCGCAGCTGGCCCGGGCCCTGCAGCGGGGGCAGGGTGCTGAGCTGGTTCCCGCGGAGGTCGAGGGTGTGCAGGCGCGGGCAGTGGGCGAAGGCCCGCGGGCCCAGGGCCTGCAGGGAGCCGTGGTCCAGGGCCAGCTCCCGCAGGCCGGGCAGCGTCAGGCCGTCCTCCTCGCCCGCGTAGGTGAGCGGGTTGTGGCCCAGCTCCAGACGCGCCAGGCTGCGGGCCTGGGACAGGGCGGCCCCGGGCAGGGCCTGCAGCTCGTTGTGGTGCAGGCTGAGGCGGCGCAGCGCGGGCAGGCCGGCCAGGGCCTCGGGGGCCAGCACGCTGAGCGCGTTGTGGGACAGTTGCAGCCAGCGAGCCTGCAGCAGCCCCTGGAAGGCCATGGCGGGCAGGTAGACCAAGGCGTTGTGGGCCAGGTTGAGCGTGGCCAGCGAGCCCAGAGCGCCGAACGTCCCCGGCCGCAGCTCCTCCAGCATGTTCCCCTCCAGCTCCAGCCGTCTCAGCGAGTGCAGCCCGTCCAGCGCCTCCTGGGGCAGCGAGCTCAGGCGGTTGGAAGCCAGGCTGAGGAACAGCAGGCGGCCCAGGCCTCGGAAGGCCCCCTCGGCCACCACCTCCACTTGACAGTGCTGCAGGTCCAGGTGCGTGAGGTAAGGCAGGTCCTGGAAGGCGGCTGGAGGGATGACCTTCAGCATGTTGCCCTGGAGGTCCAACCTCTGGGTCAGCTGTGGACAGGAGCGGCAAAAGGAGGGTGAGCTGCGAAGGGACCCTAGCCTTGGCCTCTTGTCCTCGCCTCTCCAATTCTCCTCAGCCACCGAGCAGCCCTCACTGTGCCCTTTCCGTGCTTGTCACCGCTCTTGGCTTCCTATCACATTAATTCCTAACTCCCTAGGGAGTTAGCACACCCCCAGTTCACCCCAGGACCTGCCACCAACGCAATGTTTGTAGGTCATCTAGATGCCTCAGTTAACACGAAAGAGAATCCTTAAATAAATTATCTTGTTCTTGATTTCTTTGGTTTGGGTTTTGAGACATGGTTCTGGCTGGTCTAGAACTCGGAGATCTGCCCGCCTCTGCCTCCTGAACGCTGTGTGTGCCTTTGGACTTGGCTCTTACTGCTTACTCTTCTTCCTATTTTGGACCTGGACACCCAGGCTCCAGGAGCAGGAACTTGACAACCCCGACGGTGGCAGAACCGCCGGTGTGCATGCGCCTTGGCCCCTGCCACCTTTCCCCTCTTGCCACACTGCCAACCCCTGCCATGTCCCCCCTCCTCTGACCTCGGGAATGGTGCTTGGCACCTCGGTGAGGTTCTGCTGCCGGCAGGTAGTGTGCCACCTGGAGTTGTCACAGACACAGCTCTGTGGGCACCGCCGGGCATCGACGAGCCAAGCTGGACCCAGGGGCGACAGCAGAGGCAGCAGGAGCACGAAGATCCGGGTGGTGACCTGGGGCCTGGGAGAGAAGAGGGAGAGCTGCCGGCCATGGGGGTCCCAACACTTGCGGGCACGGAACCCCAATATAGGACAACTGCCTCAGAAACCCTCCAGGCCTTCATTCTCTGGGCACTTGGCTTGGCCCCCTTTCCTTATGGGGGTTGCCAGCCCTGGTTTACTGAGGGGGAAAGTAAGATGCAGAAAATCCACCCACTAAGTCCCACCTCTGCCCAGTGGCTCTGGTTTTAAGACAGTTTGGCAGCAGGAGGGAAGGCCCGACCTGGCCCAGGTCTTAGGCTCAAGATTGGGATGTTCAGGTGTTGAAGGGCCTGAGATCCCTGAGTGAGTCTTCTGGTCAGAGACATGCTATCACGGTAGGCACACAGCTCAGGTCTCTGTGCTTGCTTTATCTTTTGTCCTCTTGTTGCCTGAGTACACACACAGCCTGACAGGCCCAGGACAGGGGAACAGAGGACCCGGATTTTGGACTGCACTGGGCAAGATGTATCTCACTTATCCACTCATTTACTGATGCTCCCACCCACCTTTCCATCCCTCCACCTCAACAACTACAGCCACTGCCCATCTCTTCGTGTGTGTGTGTGTGGGGGGGGTCACCGTGGCTTGCCTGGTCTCCCCTGTGCTCCCCCCCCAGCAGCCAAAGGGAATTTTCCAGACTACAGAGTGGACCCCGATACTCCCAATGGAAACCTTCCTACTGTCCAGGTGTCTCCTTTAGTGGAAAGTTCCCATTCCTGGCGCCTCCAGAGGAATGTACAAGTTCTCTGTCACACTTCAAGTGCCCCTGGCCCCGCTGCACAGGACCAGCAACAGCTAATTGACTCGGCTCCTGCTGCATGCTTGAGTCGCAGGTAAACTCCCAGCGGGCTTTCCTGACGTCCACCCCCGCACCTCCCCATGATTGCTCCCAGGATTGTTACTGTCTGGCTTTATCTCCTTTTAGTTTTCTCAGCGCCTTGGCTTTCTCTAGACTCTGGCTTGGGAGGCAGGGTAGGAAGTGAGCCAATTAGGCTGATTCCTGAAGAGACAAAGGTCCAGGGCATAGAGGGCTGCCATGGATCCCTCCCCGTGCAGGGGAGCGTGGGGCAGCTGCGTCCCCCCTTCTTTAGGGCCCACCTCTGGAGACCCTCAGGTACGGGAAGATCCCGTGGCTCTGCAGCCCCCTTCTCAGAGGCACAGAAAGGTCTATGGCTACCTAGTTCGTCTGTGCACCCCTAGGGCCCCCAAACTCACCCCTCCATGCCGACTGGAGCTGCCAGTCCTGTCTGGAGGCCCGCACAAGGGAAAGACCAGGGACAGTCCCCGCCTGGACACCGGGCGCACACCCCCCCACCCTGTGCCCATGGGCTTGGCAAGCCGTCCCCGAGCTGAATGGGGAGCATTGTCGGCAGCCCAGCTGAGCTGGGGCTTCCCCAGGCTGTGGGCAGGGGGTGGGAGCAGCGGCTGCAGTTACAGGCTGCCTGGCCAGCACAGGCTGGGCAACACGGCCCAGGCCCGAGTCCGTGGACGCGCGGATGGCGGGGGAGGGGTGTCTGGGGGAGCCTGCGGGTGGGTCAGCGTCTCCGCAGGATCTGAGGGACCCTAGGAAGAACCCGGTGCACCGGGTGCTGCGGGAGTTCAGGAGCCTGGAACCCAGGCGCTCAGGAACCCCGAACGCCTTCCTTTCTGCTCGAGCTTACGTGCTCACTCGCTGAAGCTGCACACGCAGTATCTTGCGGCGTTTTTTCCTTTTCACTTTAACGTCAGATTGAGGAGTATCCAAATTGGTGTGGTGCCTAGAGTCCTGTTTTTTTAAGCTGTTACTTGTTATTCCATTTTATAAACAGACCTAGCGCATGAACCCGTTGGTGGTGTACACCGGGCACCCCAGCGCTCAGGAGGCTGAACCAGAACTGCACTGAAAGCCAGACTCTGTCTCGGCAACAGAGAAGCAGCAGACTTGCTGGTTCATGGGACATAGTTTTTTACTTGACACGTGAGTGCTTAGCCTGCATGTGTGCGTGCCCTGGAGCGTGCCTGGTGCCCACAGAGGCCAGAAGAGGGCGCCAGATCCCCTGAAAGTGGAATTAGAGCCTTGTCAAACTCCATGTTTGTTGGGAACTGAACCCAGGACCTCTACAAGATGGCCCAAGACCCGTCCAAGCCCGCCTTAGATATTTTTACTGCTCCTCTGCCTTTTTTTCCGTTAAGATGGAATCAGCAGGCTGGACGCAGTGGCGAAGGCCTTTAATCCCAGCACTCGAGAAGGCAGAGGCAGGCGGGTCTCTGTAAATTCAAGGCCAGTCTGTTTTACAAAGTGAGCTCCAGGACAGCCAAGGCTACACAGAGAAACCCTGTCTTGAAAAACTAAAACCAAACAAAGGTCCATTAAAATACCCTCTCCGGCATGTGTACATTTCAAAACTCCAAGGTTGGGCACGGTAGTACACCTTTAATCCCAAGAAAGGCAGGACTTCTGAGTTCAAGGTCAGCCAAAGATACAGAGTAGAACACTAAAAACACACAAGCCAACCCACAAACGGCATCCTGCATCAACAGCACATTTGGATAATAGCAAACACTCAGGTAGCCGAGGATCTCTCAGACGCATGCTTCTGATGTAGTTTTCACTTTTGTTTGCTTGGCTTTTTGGCACAGGGTATTGCGTAATCCTGGCTGGATTCGAAGCTGCTATGCACCCGAGACTGCTCTTGTCTTCTGGCTCCTGTTCCAAAGCGCTGGGATAACAGGTGTGTGCCGTCACCATCGTTTGGCTAACTTACACACTTAGGTTGGTTATGCCGAGACAAGGTTTCTCTGTGTAGACCTGGCTGTCCTGGAACTTGCTGTGTAGACCAGGCTGGCCTCGAACTCAGAGTTGCCTCCCGACTGCTGGAATTAAAGGTGTGTAACCACCACTGCCTGGCTTCCTAGAGCTGTTTAATTTTTTGTTTATGGGTGTTTTGCTCGCCTGCATGTGTGTCTGTGTACCACATATGTGCAATGTACAAGGTGGCCAGAAGAGTGTTGGGTTCCCTAGACGTGTACTCAGGTGGATGTGAGCCGCTTACCTGGGTGCTGGGAATCAAACCCAGGTCCTCTAGAAGAGCAGCCTAGTTGGAGGTTTTATTATTTATGCAGTATTCTGTCTGCATGTGTACTTGCATGCCAGAAGGGGACACCAGATCTCACTGTAGATGGCTGTGAGCCTCCATGTTGTTGCTGGGAATTGAACTCAGGACCTTTGGAAGAACAGCCAGCACCCTTAACCTCCGAGCCCTCTCTCTAGCACCTTAGTTGTAGTTTTAGAGTTAGTTTATATATGGATGTAAGTGCTACAGTGAGTGAAGGTCAAAGGAGGGCTTGCCAGAGGCAGGACTTTCCCCATGTGGGTGCTAGGATCCAACTCAGGGAGGCCCTGGCTGGTTGTGTTTTGAGAATGTCTCACATAGTCTAGGATAGCCCTAAATACACTATAGCTTGCCAGGCATGGTCACCCTTGTCTACCAAGTGAGTCCAGGATAAGCCAGGGTTGTTTTTCTGCGTAACCAAGACCAAAAACAAACATAGCTAAGGAAGACCCTAAACGATCCTCTTCCTTTCATCGCCAACTACTGGCATTAAAGGATTATGCCATTCTATCTCCTTTTTTAAGACTGATTTCTTTTTTTATGTAGATGAGCACTCTATCTGCATATACACTGCAGGCCAGAACTGGGCGTCCAATCACATTATAGATGGTTGTGAGCCACCATGTGGTTGCTGAAAACTGAACTCAGGACCTCTGGAAGGACAGACGGTGTCTTCTCTCCATGCACCCCCCCCCCCCCCCCCGTTTCTGTGTGTAGCCTTGGCTGTCCTGGACTCGCTTTGTAGACATTTTTAAGGATATTTTATGTGTGCACTCAGGAACCCATGGCGGTCAGAGAGAGATTTTATGTGTGCACTCAGGAACCCATGGCGGTCAGAGAGAGTGTTGAATCTCCCGGAGCTGGAATTACAGGTTATTGTGAGACCCTTGCAAGAGCAGTATATATTCTTAACCGACAAGCCGTCTCTCTAGTCCCACATCATGACTTTATGGTGGTTGTTTAGTTTTTGAGCTGTAGGAATCACGGAAATTTCAGGCTCACAGATTAGCACTAGGGGAACCTGGAATGTCAAGCACACTTGGTTAGTGACCTTTACACTTATCTGTGTGGCCAAGATCACACAGCGTTTCCCCAGATCCTTAGCTTGTCCTCCCCCACCCACCCTATCAATCTCTAGAACCTTTTTTTTTTTTTTCTAAAGATTTATCGGGGGCTGGAGAGATGGCTCAGCAGTTAATAGCACTGGCTGTCCTTCCAAAGGACCCAGGTTCAATTCCCAGCACCCACATGGCAGCTCACAACTGTCTATAATTCCAGCATCCTCACACAGACATACAGGGTCTCAGAACACTATTGCACCTAAAAAAAACTTAAAAAATATTTATTATGTAGACAGTGTCCTGCCTGCATATGTGCCTGGTGCCAGAAGAGGGCACCAGATCTCATTATAGATGGTTGTGAGCCACCATGTAGGTGCTGGGAATTGACCTAGGGACCTTTGAAAGAGCAGCCAGTGCTCTTAACCTCTGAGCCACCCTCCAGCCCTCTCTGGCTCTTCATTATGGTTTTTAGAGACAGGGTTTCTCTGTGTAGCACTGGCCTGGCACACTCTATAGACCAGGCTGGCCTAGAGCTTGATCACCTGGCCCTGCCTCCCAAGTGTTTTCTTTATTCATTTTGTATGTGTTGGTGTAGAAATGTCAGATCACCTAAAACCGGAGTTACAGTTTTGAGCTACCATGTGGGTGCTGGGATTTGAACATGAATCCTTTGGAAGAGCAGCCAGTGCTCTTAACCACCGAGCCATCTCTCCAGGGCCCTCCTCCATGTTCTTACTATGTAGCCTATGACCTTTTCACTTGAAATTATGTGTGCATCTATGGTATATATACATGAATGCTGACTCCCTCAGAGGCGAGAGGCATTAGAGCCTCTGGAGCTGGAGTTACAGGCAGTTTTGAGTGATTACACCCAGTGTGGGTGCTGGGAACAGAACTCAGGACCTCTGCAAAAACAGTACACACTTAACCCCTGAACCATCTTCCAGTCCTCGTTTTCTCTTGAGATGAACTTCAAATGTAGCCTTGGCTGTCCCGGAGCTCGGAGCGGCCTTGAACTCAGGTAATCTTGATGCCCCTGCCTTCTATGTGTTTTTAAGACAAAGTCTCACTATGTAGCTTGGTGTCAATTTTTTCTTCTTATAGACTTAGGTACTTTTATTAGTTTTATGTGTATGAATGTTTTGCCTACATGTGTATCTGTGTACCATCTGTGTGCTTGGTTCCTGTAGAGGTCAAAGAGGGCACCAGATCCCCTAGGACCGGAGTTAGATGGTTATGAACTGCCCTGTAGGTACTGAGAAATGAACCAAGTCCTTTGCAAGAAGAGCAAGAACTCTTAACCACTGAGCCATCATTCCAACCCTGGTTTCACATTTTCAATCTTTCTGCATCTCAGTGAAAAAAACTTTGGCTGTGCTGTATGTTCCTTTCAGCTCTTATTTTTGTTGGAGCTTTTTGAGATAGGGTAGCCCAGGCTTGCAACTCAATATGCAACTGTGAGAAGCCTTAAAGTTCTGATCCTCTTGCCTCCACCTGTGTGCTAAAATACTCAACTATAAGCATGTGGCAATATGCCTGTTTGATGCCCAGGCTTCAGGCACGTCAGGCAAGTAAATGACATTCTTGTTCCCCTTTGGGCTTTTGTCTCTTCTCTTTTTTTTTTTTGCCTCTGTACTACCACCGCCTGGCTCATCTTTTAACTGAGAACAAGAAAACAAATCATTGGGTGTGTATGTAACACCCCAGCGTCTGCATAGATGAGAGGGTAATGCAGGGACAGGTTTTGTCTTCCCACCGTGTGGGCCTCAGGGATTGAATTCAGGATGGAGATCAGTGTGTAACTGCTAACCCACCTCACCAACCCTTTAGTTTTATGCGTGTATAAATCACTGATGTGGGCATTTTTTCGGGGTGGGAGTGGAAGGGGGTGTTTTAAGACAGGGTTTCCCTGTGTAGCCTTGGCTGTCCTGGAATTGGCTTTGTAGACCTGGCTGACCTTGAACTCAGAGAGATCCATTTACTTATGCCTCCTGAGTGCTGGGATGAAAAGCATGCGCTACCACACCTGGCTTTTTTCTTTTCTTACTAATTTATTTAATTTTTAAATATTATGTGCATTAGTGTGAAGGTATCAGATCCCTTGGAACTGGAGTTACAGACAGTTGTGAGCTGCCATGTGGGT